CTCTGAGGATCCCCGCCCTTCACGACCTGCGGACAGTTTTGCAGAATCCCCAGGATGCGCAACGGTACTACGGGCAAGGTTCTGTAGGTGGCGGTGGCGATGGTGTAGGCAGTGGCGATGGCGGCGGCGGCGGTGGTGGCAACGGCGGCAGGCGGGCCGGCCGTACAGGTGCCGACAGCCGCAAAGCCGGTGGCGTCGCTGCTGGCGGCGATCAGGACCCTCGCGGGTTGGGTCACCAGGCTCCGGCGGCTCCGGCGGCTCCGGCGGCTCCGGCGGTAGCGGTAGAGGATGAATTAATGCTTGAAGCCGATGCAAGCAATGGCGGCGATGGTAGTGGTGATGGTGATGATCATTGTGACGACGAGGGTGTCGTCAGTGGCGATGATGAGGATATGTGACGGTGGCACCGAGCGGTAGACATACTTGCTAGGCAGGAGTGCCATCTGGTAGTACCGTACTTCGTACTTCGTACTCCGTGCGACTGTATCCTGGGCTAACCACGGGATCTGCATCCACTGTTCGGTTCTTTTCTGAAAAGTCGTGATATAACGGCGACATGCGAATTCTGACGTCTCGCAGTGAGGCATAATTGCGGGCACAAAAATGAAGCCGGTATCCCTTCAATGAAGTGTTCTGTTGTATGGTCTTCGTAGGTGCGGTGGGGTGTATGTACAAGGTGTTAGTTCATTGGCGAGAGATCCCCCCGGTGATCATAGGTGATTGGGCTCTGAACGGTCCATCGCGATCTCTTCCCTGATATGACAGCAATCTCTACCGCCCCAGCATGGATGCCGTCCTCCTTGCTCTTAAAGGTCAATTGCTGGAAAGCGTTCAGACGTCAACCACGTTCAGACGGCAACGCATCGCACGCGCCAGCAGCGCCCTCCTGCACGCGCCAGCAGGAGGGCGCTCGCTGTGACTCGGTGAAGGGTTGGAACCTATGACAGCTCGCGCATTGTTTCCTTTCCGCTCTTCTCAAGACATCGGGTGATCGGGGAAGCGGTTGATCATCAGCAGCTTGTGGTAGTGTTCGATGTCCGTGAAAATGTATGTCGGTACTGATGTTGTCTCCTTTTTGACAGGCCTGTGGCCTGTTTCGCCAGACTACCGCCGCCGCCAAACTTGCTTTTGCAAAAGTTGCGGCCTACCTATATGTATCGTGTATTTGCAGGTAGGGCACTGGCGAAGGATCAGAATCACCCGCTGCACCGTGTGGCATTAGATTGGATTTGTGTGTGTGTGTGTGTGTGTGTGTGTGTGTGTGTGTGTGTGTGTGTGTGTGTGTGTGTGTGTGTGTGTGTGTGTGTGTGTGTGTGTGTGTAGCACTGCCGTGCATCCCAGACGGCGCTCTGGGAACAGCTTGCTTTCTTGCTTAGTTGTGTGGGAGGCACGTGCAGTAGTTGTTGCGGGACCCTTGCAGCTACATAGCCGCTGAGTGGCTACTCCAGTGCGCGTCACGTCGTCTATCTTCCAGCTCCCTTGGTCCCGTCGTACTGATGCTTCCAACGTTTCCCGCCAAGCGATGTTCGGTAGTTGGCCGTGGCGCCATGGACCCGTTTTTTGTGGACAGTCAAGTGGATGGGCCAACGCGGCAGAAGGCTATAAGGACAGCCATACTTCATAGCGATAATAGCGGTGATAATAATTATGTTTATTATTATAACAAATATAATATAAAATTTAATACTAATAATTTGTATGAGGGCCAAGAGGCAAGGTCGCCAGCTGAGGTGCCCTCCCGTCGTCCCTTCGGATGCGGGCGTGGGCTTTCATTCACAGAAAAGAGGCCCAGCTGCTGTTTCCATGCCGTGCTTCATATTACGTCCTGAGCTCGCTTGTCTCTTTTGTAGTTCTTGATTTGCGGCAGCAGTTTTAGGTGAAGGCTGCATCCATGGCTTGTAGCAGCAGGCTGTATGCGCAGGCTGTATGCGCAGGCTGTATGTTCAGGCTGTATGTTCAAGCTGCTGGCATGCATGGCCATCCCTTTCCTTCGTTCATTTCCACGAAGTTTCCTCCAACTTCCCCTTTTTATCCCCCCATTCCCTTATTAAGCGAATCATAACTAACGCCCGCTCAGTGAATGGAACGTTGTGGTTTGACACCTTGCAAGGTATTGTGGTAATTGGGTTGGGAGAGGTTCTCCATACTACTAATGTTTCCGTACTTTCCGTATTCTCCTTTCCTCTCTGTTTCGGGTCGGGCCCTACCTCCCTGTTTGTTGTTGCCTCGCTTCCGTCTGGTTGGTTGCCGGCTGCCTTTGGTTTTGCATAGATGCATTATCGGTCTGATGAGCACGGGAAAGTAAATGCTGGTTGTGTGGTGTCGTTTCTCTAGGTTTCATTGCTCGTTGTGATCCTATTTGAAACCTGTATTTCGGGGCACCCTCATCCAGTCACCCTAGCCGACTTCTCAGCGGACGCTCAGGTTCAGCACCCACCACCAGCATCCACCGGAATCTGCCGGATCAACGGCGGCTCAACTCCATTCCTGGTCAGGATATGTACGCATGTACACATCTACGCATCTACGCATGTACACATGTACGACGCGTGAGGCTGCGGCAGGTGCCGAGATCCCTGGGGCGGTGCGTGTGCTTGTTGCAACAATTGGCATGGCATGTACTGTAGGAGAAGGTATGGGGTAGTGTTTGGAGTGCTGCATTCCATGCATGGGCAGGAATGGCTACTGGTGACGGACATGGGCGGTGACGATAGTGCTTGTTGCCTACTGTACACACTATTTGTAAAATGGCATGGATCTCTCTGCTGATTGTAAAAAAATGATTATCGAATATTCCGGCCGGCTAAAGACAGACATGATCGTTTAAAGACGGCAAGCTATAAACGATTTGGCTATTAGCCAAGCCGACTGTATCCGAGCTATAAATAATCCATCGACTATAGTCGGTGAGATAATCGGCGAAAAGAATCGTCTGCGGATGGACTATAGTCGAATGGATTATAGTGCAGGATAGTTGGGCTATGATACTTTCCCACGTTACAGACCGGTGCCGACAAGTGCGTACTGGCTGCTGTGTTGTCGATGTTGGGGCGGCCTAGCTCGCCAGAACGCTAGCTACTTACATCGTCAAGGCGGCTGTGCGCAGGTTAAGTACGTCTGCTTGCATACCGAGCGATGGAATGTTGTAGCTGGTACACAGTACGGCACACAAAACGTCTACACATACGCGCTAATAAGCGCTCCACCACTGGCAGCATCTCGAGAGGCCTTTTCAGCGGCCAGCTACTGCGTCGAACCGCTGTGCGCGCTTGCTTACGACCTCTATCTATGTCATCAACGCTTCGGTCCAGCGCCTGCTTTGCCTATACGTGTATCGATCATGTGTGTGTGTGTGTGTGTATGTGTGTGTGTGTGTGTATGTATATGTTGTTACAGGGTGGTTAACTTCGCCAGCGGCCCCCTTTCCCGGGGCAGTCCCTGCTCTCCCCTGCTAGAGGGGCACCCTAATCCGTCACCCCATCCGACTTCAGAATGTGTGTGTGTGTATGTGTGTGTGTGTGTTACATGGTTGGGGGTGCGTGACCCCATACCTGTAAAACTGCCCATACGAGCCGACGGCCCAAGGGCAATACTACAACGCCTAAAAGCCACGGAGAAAAGGAAACACCGCACATCAGCCCAGACTAGCGTCCAGTCGATCATGTAACTATGAAGGTATTAAAATGCATTACTGTCGTCCCCCATCCATGTCCCCAATCAAATGCAGCATTAGTGGCTTCTTCAGCAGCAGCTGCCCACTGCGGCCTCCTTGCCTTGTATGCAACCCGGACGCATGCATATCATCACCAACGAATGGCCGCCGCCGCTGGCCGCCGCAGCCGTATTCGGTTAACAACTCAGCAGAGACTCAACTCTAGCCGTTGGATTCCGTCGCAAGCTTCGTTGTGACGACTGGATTTGCAAATGGCAATGGTATTATGGCTGATCTGCACCTATCCTTCCTTCCTGCTGTTCGATTGCGTGTTGCCCTTCGTTGCCATCTCTTGCCATCCGATCTATCGACCTGGATGATGTTGTTCTTGTTACATGGTCGTGGGTGCGCTCCCCGTACCTGCAAACCACCCTAATACGGGCCGAGGGCTCAAGAGCTGCCAGATCGCCTATAAGCACCATCCTACCTCGCACTTCAAACAAAGCAAGTGAACATGGATGTACGCCGGTAGAGCAACGTTCGGCAATGATCTACAACCGCTGTTGTCCCAAGAGTAAAATCCTTACATGATTATGAAGCCAAATCGATTGAAAGTTTGGCGAGCTATTTAAACAGTTCGTACGTGAAAGAACACGGTCACTGCTTATTGATGGCCAGCATTTGCCTACATCATTATGCTTCAAATATATATATTATGTATGATTATGCGTGGATTTTCCTAAGTAGCTATCCGTAGCGGAACCTACGACGCGGAACACAAACAAGATAGTTACGAAGGGGTCTCAAGGGCGCCTTACAAAACATGGTTAAATAGCTTGTGTTTGCAACAAGATGAATGTTTGTAACATAAAAATGTTTGCAGCGAGGATATTCGGGCCAGACAGGAACGAGCAGCTGAAGCGACAGGCGCAAACGCTTTATCAGCAAAGCACCGAGTCATCCAATACTTCAACGAGGGTCTGCTTAACATGCGTAATTATAATCCACAAAAACAAATCATGAAATAATTACTACGGTGGATTTCAAACTTATACCAGAGCGGTGGAGGTTCCCGCTTCGTCCTCGGCAGGGAAAGAATGGAAAGAATGACGGGAGTCCTCATTCTGAAGTTGAACGTAACGACGCCAAGCAAATGGCACTACTAATGTCCATCATGTTCGACCTTTGATCTTCATATCACTTTCCGCCTGGATGGCCGCAGCACTCGAGGCAGGAAAGTGCCTTACGGATCGCACCAGCTTCGCACCAGCAGCCAGCCAACGGTGCATACAGGATCTCGCATACACAGATCTGCAAACGCCTACGCATATATAAGCCAAACATTTTTGTTCCTGTGCCATAAGGCCACCACGTTGCGTATGCGTACATGCATAACGTGAGATCCAGCAAGTGAGCGGGGTTCATTACACGGAACTGCGGCGCAAATTGCATCCGGCGGGACTGCTGCATCCTATTCTGCCGACGGAATTAACTCGCTGATGAACATGCATGAGCGGACATGCGCGAACCTTTGCTCCATCAAGGTCCGGAGAGTCCTTGAGTAGCTTGACACAACCAAGCACGAGCAGTAGGTGCGTTTGGAAAGGAAAGGAAGTGAAGCAGATAGCATTTCTGTAACTATGTTCCTGTATGCGTTGATTGCTTGGCCAGCTTTTGGCAAAGGCGTCAGTTGATTGCGTGCCTTGGCACGCCGCGCACTTCGCTGTTACGGAGGACCCCGCGCGCGCGCACAGCCTGCGAAATCATCACGGTACGTACATCTAATGCATAAGTTGTTTAATGTGATGTGGTGATAAGTATTTAGTTCAGGGAGCGTCAGCGATAAGTCATCAGCAGGTTGTGGACCTCCTCCGCACTTTCTGCGGGTTCGGTGCCTCTTATCTAACGAAGCGGCGGCCGTTATATATCAATGCGTGTTATTGGAATGCCCAGCCTATAATGATACTCGTGCTGAAGAGGGATTCGATCATCAACAGAGTATGTTGGAGGCCATGCAATGGGAACCCGCACGCCTGGCGAGGATGTTGGAACGTATGTGGGCTCACCGAAACTCAATTACCCCCTTTGGACGCTAGTCTGGGCTGATGTGCGGTGTTTTTTCTTTTCTCCGTGGCTTTTAGGCGTTGTAGTATTGCCCTTGGGCCTTCGGCTCGTATGGGTAGTCTTACAGGTATGGGGTCACGCACCCCCAACCATGTAACACACACACACACACAATGCTAGCTAGCTTATTACTACTGCTTAATCATTTGCTCGCTTCCTCGGTCTGGCTCGGTTGCCTCTTGATTTCCTGTATTTTCCAAGATTTGCTTGGGTAACCTCTTTTCCGCCGGTGGTGTTGAAGTAATGGCGTTTTGTTCCGCCCTGCTCTGTTCCGCCCTGCTCTGCTCCGCTCACTGTATGTGCCGCCGGCATTGAGCGAGGTCGTCAAGCACTGCACAAGTAAGCAGGCGAGGGCCCCAGCAAGTCCGAACTGCGGAACTGCCGGTCAGTTGCACATATGTGGATGTAATGCACATCTAGTTGCAGCAGTTGTCAACAGATTGCTGACTCGCAAATCTCTGGTACTGCTGCCGTACATAGCATGCAAGTGTATGCACGCATGAAATGGCTCGTAGGCGAAGCTTAAACGAAGGAGATTGAGCATAAAAAATGATCAGAGGACTAAATGATCCGAAAGATCAACAACACAGTGGAAACAGTTGAGAGCACTGTTGGATATGTAAGATACCTGCGTTGCCGGGGCGGGCCTGCTTGCCTGCCTGTCTGCCTGCCTGCCTGCCTGCCTGCCAAGATAAAACAGAGCCGCCGGACTGACCGCCACCCTTAGCGTCACCGTCGGCAACAAAACCCAAGAACTCAAGGATCAATTCGTACATCCTGGCCAAGTCCGTCTGGATGGCAGCAAAGGGTGCACTTGGCTGGGAGCGTGTGTCAAAAGTAGCTTCGCTCCGACCTGGTTACTTGCGCATTTTACCCGCCCACGCCACCCGCCAGCGGCAGTAGCGATGAAACAGCTGCGATGCGTGCACTCAATTTCATCANCAGCTGCATCATCGATGATGATCATGCC